AGTAGTAGTAGTAGTAGTAGTAGTAGTAGTAGTAGTAGTAGTAGTAGTAGTAGTAGTAGTAGTAGTCGTAGTAGTAGTAGTAGTAGTAAGTAGTAGTAGTAGTAGTCGTAGTCGTAGTAGTAGTAGTAGTAGTATAGTAGTAGTAGTAGTAGTAGTAGTAGTAGTAGTAGTAGTATAGTAGTGTAGTAGTAGTAGTAGTAGTAGTAGTAGTAGTCGTAGTAGTAGTAGTTAGTAGTAGTAGTAGTAGTAGTAGTAGTAGTAGTAGTAGTAGTAGTAGTAGTCGTAGTCGTAGTCGTAGTCGTAGTGTAGTAGTCGTAGTCGTAGTCGTAGTCGTAGTCGTAGTCGTAGTAGTAAGTAAGTAGTAGTAGTAGTAGTAGTAGTAGTAGTAGTGTAGTAGTAGTAGTAGTAGTAGTAGTAGTGTAGTAGTAGTAGTAGTAGTAGTAGTAGTAGTAGTAGTAGTAGTAGTAGTAGTAGTAGTAGTAGTAGTAGTAGTAGATCTCGCCGTCCTGTCGACGGGTCCGCCTTCGGCGCCGCTCGCGCCCCCGGCCGCGGCCGAGGCCCGAGCAGGGCTTCGCGCTTTTGGGGGGGGGCTTCTCGGCAGAGCAGACGTTCAGTCGGGCACGTCCCTCCCCGGGGGGGACAGTCAGGAATTGTCAGACATCCGTTTGGGGACGATTGCATATACACACCAAACATGTTTGGGATATTTGTTGACCCTTCTGTATTTGTCGTCCATAATCCGCCTGCCGGAGGACGTGCCCGACCTAAAGCGAGTTGTGGCTGCAGTTTTGGCACGACCCCCGCACTTCCGCTGAGTCCACGGCCTCTGCTGGAACTCTTGAAATCTGTTGGAACGTGTTTGTGTTTTTCCTCTGAATTATTTGGGTGTCGGTCGGTTTATCTGGCTCGAGCCCCGCAACTTGATTGGCGAAGAGTCGTCAGGCCATCGGGGACGTGCAAAGGGGCACGCTGGCGGATGTTCTCCTCCAAGAGCCGTTCCTTCGGCGGCAATTCGTACCGCCCAGTGGGCAAGGACGAGTTCGACATGGACGCGGTCGGCAACGACGCGTCCCTGAGCGATTTCCTCGACGAGGCCGACTACGACTCGGTCGCGCCCAGCAGGCGACTGGGGCAAGATTGGGCCCCGAACACAGCCGAGCACCTGCACTCTTCCTCCTCCACTTCTTCCCTTCCCTCCTCCTCCCCCGCTTCGCATCATTCTTCTCCTTCTCCCCCTCTGCCCCCTCTCATCCCTTGCTCCGCATTTTTCTTCTCCCTCCTCCTCCTTTCCCCGCGTCCTCGTCGCCCCGCATTGTCCGTCTCCCTTCTCCCCCTCTTCCACCCCTCCCCCTTCTCCATTCTCCTCCTCCTCGCTTGCTCCGCTCGGGTATCTTGAGCCGCCTTGGAGGCCATCTCGGACCATAGGAGGCCATCGGGGAGACAGTCGGGCTATCGTTGACGATCTGACCGATCGCGGCCCGCCTCAAAACAAAAATCTCAAGTAGGGGAAGGGAGGTACCCCGCCGAAGGGAAGAGGGTTTTGGAAGAGGGAAAACACATCGTTTGACCACATTCTTCCAAACGGCTGGTGGGATTTCAAGTTTGGACCCCTGGAAACTTCTACCCTTTCCCCAGGGTTGGCGGACCATCCTGGGCAGTTCTTGTGGACGGTCCCGGGGCCCGGCGAGGGTTCCTGGAGGCCGAAAACGAAAGAAACAGAGAATGTTGTTGGAAGTTTTCCCACCCCCTCCCTTGTTCGTCTAGGCCTCCTAGGTGGGGTCCGAGTAGATGGGGCCGGAGGATCGCGCCGCATCGCCGTGCATCGCCGATGCGGCTCGATGTGGAGCCCGATGTGCTTCACGTTGATGTCGCCGATGCATCGCCCGCGTCGACGATGCATCGCCGGTGCATCGCCGATGCATCGCCGATGCATCGCCGATGCATCGCCGATGCACAGCGATGCGGCGCGATCCTCGGACCCCATCTGCTCGGACCCCATCTAGGAGGCCTCTACAGTCAACCCGCATAGCAAGGATGGGCAACCTGCCCAAGGGTACCCGTGCATCCTTGCCTCCTCGGTCCATCCTTGGCCACTGTCGTCGGCCGCGCCCCGCTCGACAAGCTTCGACATTGGTGTCAGGCCCTTGCATCCTTATCCCGCATCCTTACTATACGGGTTGACTGCACAGTCGGGGCGCTGAAAAAGAACTCTTTTCGTTGGGCAGGGGCTCCGTGTTCCTTACTCGTTTCACATGTTGCCTCAGGTGTTCCTATTCATGTTTACGATGGGACATCGAAGTTTAACTTCTGGAAAAATGGGCCTCGTTCCTTGTTTCGGGTTCTTTAGGTCACCGCCCCGACTGTAGTTCGCCTGGATGCCTGGGGTCCCCTCCCTTCGCCGCCCGGCTGCCCGTCCGCCCCCCGAGGTACGGCGCCGCCCCCGCCGAGGATAGACGGCACGAGCGGCGGCCGGTGGACGATGGCGGCAGGGCCGTGCCGGGTGGGCCCGGGCCGGGGAACGTGCAGATCGAGCTCCTCCTCCTCCTCCTCCTCCTCCTCCTTGTCCCTCCTCCTCCTCTTCCTCCTCTTCCTCCTCCTCCTCCTCCTCCCTCCTAATCTCCGCCTCCTCCTCCTCCTCATCCCTCCTCCTCCTCCTCCTCCTCCTCCTCCGCCCCCTCCTCCTCCTCCTCCTCCCCCCGCCTCCTCCTCCTCCCCCTCCTCCTCCTCCCTCCGCCTCTCCTCTTCCTCCGCTCCCGCCTCTCTTCTCCTCCTCCTCTCCTCCTCCTCCTCCTCCTCCCTCCTCCTAATTTCCGTCTCCTCCTCATCCTCCTCCTCCCTCCCTCTCCTCCTCCTCCTCCTCCTCCGCCTCCGCTCCTCCTCCTCCTCCTCCTCCTCCTCCTCCGCCTCCGCCTCCGCCTCCTCCGCCTCCTCCTCCTCCTCCTCCTCCTCCTCCTCCTCCTCCTCCTCCTCCTCCTCCTCCTCCTCCTCCTCCTCCTCCCCCTCCTTGTCGTCGTCGATGTCTTTCAGGGTCGGCGGCACCGACCGCCAGGCCTTCACAGGTCGAGGAGCAGGTAGTGGCAGAGGCAGCATCGGTACGACACTACCACGGGCGCTTCTCGGGCGCCCAGCTGCTCCACTTTCTTGGAGTTCGGGGTGTGGGCCCGTGGAGGTCTGGGCCACGTCTCCAGGGCCAGTTCTGGGTCCTGTGTCTCGGGCCGGACGAAAGGGGGGGATTGGGAAAGGGGGGGGGACTAAATCTGCTGCATGCAGCTGGTTTCGGCCCCGCCGAGGGGCCCATACCTCGATACATGGGCGCCTCCCGGCGCCGGGAGGCGCCGGGAAAGTCAGCTACGTGAGCTGATTCTCAAAGCCCCCCTTTGCTATCCCCCCTTTCGCCCGACCCGAGTCTCCAGGGCCAGTTCTGGGTCCTGTGTCGTTCGGCCGCCCGACGAGAGAAGGCCCCTCGCGGCCGAGCGCGGCCGAGCAAGCCGCCCCGCCCAGTTCTTGGAGGAGCGCCGGGCATCGCTGGGGAAAATCGCCACGGGCGCACTGCTATGTGAGCGTTCTTGTTCATTCATTGTTTTGCCGATCGGTGCGGGCCTTCGCACCCCCCCCCCCTCCCCCCCCGTATGGAGTAGATTTTGGCTGTGTTTGGGGTGCCTGTTCCAGGCAGGGGGGAGCCTCCCCTCACAGGACGCCCTGCCGCAGCAGTCAAACTAAGCAGAGGGTCGGAGCCAAATCCCCCCCCCGCTCCCCCCCCCCCTTTCTGCCCAATATCAAAACGCCGAACAAAAAACGCTCACTTTTGCGCCCTGCGTCGTTCGGCCCGACGAGAGGGGACCCCTCGGGGCCGAGCGCGGCCAAGCAAGCCGCCCCGCCCAGTTTTTGGGGAGCGTCGGCTACCGCTGGGGAGGAACGCCACGGGCGCACCGTTGTTCAGTCGGGCATGTCCCTCTACAGGGGGAGTATTCAAAGTAGTTAAACACTAGTCTGGGGACTATCTTTTGCGTATTTTGGATCTGGGAGCATTGTCTGAGTATTTGTTGGACTTTTTTTTACCGCTCGTCCAAAGACTGCCTGCAGGGGGGCACGCCCGACCTGAGAGTGCCGTTGGGACGGGCGGGGGGGGGCGGGCGCCGGGGCGCGCGAGGCCGGCCTCTGGGCACCCCGATCGGGGCGTGCTCCTCTCGGCCTGCCAGGCATGGGGCCGGGGCGGACGGGGTCGGCGGCTCCTCGGGAGCCTCGAGGCGGGGGTCAGCGCACACGGGGGTCAGCCAGAGCGCCCCGACCCTGCAGGATCCTGCAGGGCCAGGGTCGCATTGACCCGGGCTTGGGTGCAGGATCCTGCAGGATCCTTCGCATTGACCCGGGTTTGGGTGCAGGATTTTGCAGGATCTTGCAGGACTCTGCGAGGCCTGACTGACCCGGGTTTCGATTGACCCGGGTCAGCAGGTCCCCGAGGCTCGCGTCGCACAGCCGACGCATCGGCGATGCGGCACCGTGCGGAGCCCGACGAGTCCTAGAGGTCCAACGTATGGGGAGAGATCACGACGGAGGTTGCTCTCGGTTTTTGGCCTCCAGGGGCCCTTGCCGAGCCTCAGGACCGTCAGAAAACGATTCAGGATGGAAAACGGGTCCTGGGGAATGCGTCGAGACTTCCGAGGACCTGGCATTGAACAAATCACGACATCAGATCTTTTGGGTTGCTTTTGCGTCGACGTCGCCGATGCATCGCCGACGTCGCCGATGCATCGCTGGTGCATCGCCGAGGCATCGCCGAGGCATCGGCGATGAGGCGCGATTCTGCGACCCCAGCTGTTCCGACCCCATCCAGGAGGCCTCTGTAGTTCAGGAGGGGAAAAAACACAGACGCGATGAATCGTCACGACATCGGATCTTTGGGTTTCGGGACTCGGGTCCCTTTCCGAGTATGTCTCGCGGACGACGAGGGCCTCCAGGGTCCCGAGACCGTGCGGTGGCGGACGGACCGTGCGGTGAGGTTTCTTGGGGGATTGCGAGGTCACCGCACATTCTGTCACCACACGGTCTTCGGCACGAGCGAAATGGGTACGGATAGAATGGGTACAATGTCCAACAGCAGTTCCTGTTCATTTTGAACAAAACTCGCTCTCCGCGCCGCCGCGGCCTGTGCCCACTTGAGACAGAAGACCGCCTGTCCAACAGCATTGTACCCATTTTTTACGTACCCATTTCGGGCGTCCAAAGGTTTAGGGCTCCCCCAGGGGAGCCCAGTGAAACATTCGGTGCGGAGGTTCTGCGCAGTCGGGCCTGTCCCTCTACAGGAGAAATATTTTTTAAAATTGTCAAAACGACTCGGTTGGGGACGATTGTTTTCAACATTTTTTGGGGGGCTATGTTTGAGGTGTTTTTTTGTGGGTTGACTTTGTTTTAAGTTTTTCCGCTCAAAAATCCGCCTGTTGGGGGACATGCCCGACCTAACCCCTGCCCTGAGTTGTTGCTGTCTTCTGCCTCGGGGAGCCTTCGCTGGGCCTCGGGGTCGGCAAGACTGTTTTCCGTCGCAGCTCGGCAGAGGCGATCCGCGCGCGCGTCGGGGCGAGACCGGGACACGGCATCGCGAATTAGCCCGCATGCAAGAGAGGGGGGAAGGAAGAAAGGCGGCCGCAGAGAAGGGATCAGGGCGCAGGGGGACGCGGCAGGTAAAGCACAATTCATATTGAGTCGGGCCGATCGCAGTAGGTACGGAAACCATGGGCACAAAGTCCAACCTCAGCTCTTGTTCGTTCTGAACAGGGTTCAATGTCGGCGTCGCATCCGGGCGTCGTCCATTTAAGACAGGAGGCCGCCGGCCCAACAGCGGCCGTTGTCGGCGTTTGGACAACATCTGTTGTTGGACATCGTACCCATGTTTTCCGTACCCAGGGTGCCCAGACCTCCAACATATTTCAGGGGCCCCCAAACGGGGTGGTGACCACACCGTGTGGTGAGTCGGTGGGGATTCGGGGTCACCCCACGGTTTTCGGACTCGGGTCGTTCTCCGAGGACGTCTCGGGCGACTGGGGCCTCCGAGGTCCCAAAACCGTGCGTTGACGGACCGTGCGGTGAGGTCTTGGGTGTTTTCGAGGTCACCGCACGGTCTGTCACCGCATCGCTTCGGGACTCAAACATATTGAAAAATTCGGCGCGGAGTTTTTTTGCAGCTTTCGGCCTCCAGTGGGGTCCTCGCCAGGCGCCGGGAGCGTCAACCGGCCCCGGAGAACGGGGGGTTGCCCTGTCGAAGAGATGTCAAGGCGCGCCGGTCGTTCAGAATAGGTATTTCTTGATTCCCAGATCCCTTTCTTCTAGCCTTGAATCGGGCGTGTCCCTCTACAGGAGGAATATTCAAAACGAAAAATATATGGGGACGATTTTTGTTTGATTATTTTTCCGTACTTGGGAATCTGTTTGGAGTAGTTTTGTTTTTTCGTCCAAAACCCGCTTGTAGGGGGACATGCCCGACCTAATACTAGCCGCTTTCCTACTTACGAATCGAGTGGTTTTCCGTCTTCCCTCCGCTTCAGGGGGCGGGTGGCAGCATAATTTGCTTCCAGCGCCTGCCTCGTTCATGTTTCCGCCCACTTCTTCTGGGCGACGGGTACATCGGATTTCTCGTAACTCAGAACAGAATGAAAAGCTGGTCCCGGGGAGTGGGTCGAGACCTCTGGGGGGTCCACGATGTGAAAGGCACGGCGTCAGGGGTCTGGGGTGCGATCGGGGTGGGTACGGAACGGATGGGGACGAAGACCGACTCCAATTCCAATCCACAGCGGGCAGGACTGGCTGCCTGTGTCACCGCGGGCGTTGCCCGCTTGATGCGGAGGGGCTGCCCCACAGCGGCCGCTGTCGGCGGTGGACAACAGTTGTTGTTGTTGTTGTTGTTGTGGTTGTGGTTGTGGTTGTGGTTGTGGTTGTTGAACATTATTAATTCTAAAGAATAATTATTGTTGGGCCCCCTGGTGCGCGCCCCCCCCGCCGCGCCTAGGCCGCAGCCACGTTTTCATCATTTTCGTGAGGAAGCCTCAGGTAATTCGAGGTGATCAAGATCCGGTTGTTTTGTTGTAATCCGCTTTCCCTTGCAAAAAACACTATAAAATGAAATTTCTTGTTCAAATATTATCAAATTTCAAGAATCCCTTGTAAAAAATAAGGTAAAGTGGACATTCGCGCGCGCAAGACGAAATCCTTCCAAAAGCTTAGTGTTCGGAGCGATTTTAACATAAAAACATCAAAAAACCAATGGTTTTTCAACAAAAAAATGTCAAAATCTCATCCCGCGCGCTCTTGCGGATTCGTAGGAAACCCAACACTTTTTAAACATTTCTGTCAAACGGGCTTTTGCGAGCAACTTTTTCGAACTTCTGCGACAACGGTTGCGCACCTGCCAGGGCCATCATCCCTGTCAAATAATACCATGCGGGACACATTCGTTTTTTCTTCGCGCGCGCACGCCGAAATCTCCAAAAACCATTGGGTTCTGTGGGT